ATAAAAATCCAAACCACTGCTGTTGATTCTGACTCAGAGCAACCGTATCGGACAAAGTATAATTTCCCCATGGAGATTCCAAGGCTATAATCTTTGTAGCAGCATACTGCCACATCTTTCTCCTGTGGAATGGCTGGTGGCCTTGAACTGCTGACCTTTTGGTTAGTAGCCCACTGCTTAATCACTGCACCATCAGGGCTCCTATATATACCATATACACACTTAGAAAGAAGATACCCTGGCATTTAAATATTTTAATCTTGCTTAACAAATACGACATTATTGAATGACAAAGATATATCAGGTGATAGTTTTTTATGAATTGAAATTGTGCCCCCTCAAAATATGTGTTGAAGTCCTGGTCCCTCTATCTGTGACTGTGATCCAGTTTGGAAATAAAAGTTTTTCTTTCATTAAGATAATGAGGTTATACTAGAATAATCTAGGTCCTAATCACTACTGAGTTATTAAAAGAATAGGCACAGAAACACTCACAGGAGGAAGACAGATGCCAAGGAATGAGAAGGAATTCCACTCAATGAGAAAGAACCCAAGGAATGCCAATAAATGCCAAGGAACTCCTGGGGCTACTGAAGGAGGACCGTCCTATAGAGCCAATACCTTGATTTTGATTTCTAGCCTCTAAAACTGTGAGAAAATAAATTTCTGTTTTTAAAAGCCACCCACTTTTAGTATTTCTGATATAGAGGCACTATAATTAAGACAATAGTCAAAACTTCAATTCTTTGTATTGTTTTCCTGATGATAATGTTTACAATATACACCTTAATATAAAGAAAACAAAAATCCTCACAACTGGACCAATAAGCAGCATCATGATAAATGGAGAAAAGATTGAAGTTGTCAAAGACTTCATATTGCTTGGTTCTACAATAAACACCAATGGAAGCAGCAGTCAAGACATCAAAAGACGTATTGCATTGGGCGAATCTATTGCAAAAGACCTCTTTCAAGTGCTGAAAAGCAAAGATATTTCTTTGAAGACTAAGATGCACCTAACCCAAGACAGGGATCTCTGGTAGCATAGTGCCTAAGGCACTCAACTGCTAATCAGAAGGCTGGCTGTTCAAACCACCAGCCACTCCTCAGAAGGAAAATGGGGCAGTCTACTTCTGTAGTGATACTGCCTCGGAAACCCAAGGAGGCGTCACTATGAGTCAGGTTTAACTAGACGGCACATAACAACAACAACCCAAGACACGGTATTTTCAATTGCCTCATATACTTATGAGAGCTGGACAGTGAATAAGGAAGACCGAAGAAGAGTTGATGCTTTTGAGTTGTGATGCTGGCGAAGAATGCTGAAAGAACCAACAAATCTTTCCTGGAAGAGGTGCAGCCAGAGTGCTCATTGGAAGC